AGCGGTGATTTTGGGATGCACAATGTGGATTTACTGTGGTGCTCACATTTGACAGCATATCTCAACCTATCCGAGGTCAGATAGAACGAGTCGGTGATTTTGATTGTGGTCGTTGCAAGCCTATTTCAGCCACTATGCAAGGGAGATGATACCTGGGGACAACATGAGGTGCGGAATTATTGTTGAACATGTTCAAGATTGAAAAAAAAATCACTCATTCAAGTCGCCAAAAAATACACCCAAGCCCGGGCTCAGGCCCAAGCCCGACCCGACCCGACCCTACCTGGGGCCTAGGGTCGGGCTCAGGATATTTTCCAGGCCCGACCCTACCCCGACCCGACCCAAGCCCGGGCTTTCAGGCCCGACCCGACCCGAACAACACTAGACTCCACGTGAAATTATGGGACCAAGGCCATGGTCTTGGGTTGTGCTATGGAGACCACAGCCTGGATCCACCGACGCAATCGAGACTTGTTCGAGACCGTCGCTCTTGTCCCGACCACTTCCGGTCCTGTTCACATCTTCCGTCATTCCAACTTCCTTTCCAAAACTCCTTTCAACTGGCATGATGTTGAATTCGCAGACCAGCGTTGAAATGAACTCTTGCTAACAGTAACAGGTTCACCTATCTGTTGGCTCGGGCTCGAGCTTGTAGCTCTCCCGCCGTCCGCATTTTTCCGCAATTGTCAAGTCCAAACGTGGGAGCACGTCCTAGCGTGCAATTGTCACGTAGTTCTTTCACAGGCATTTTTCAATGCGGCCGAGTGCGACTCGGAACGTTATGTAAGAATGTCACATCCAAGGGGGGAAAAGGGAGGTACAATCCAATAATTTATTCAAGAAAGCGGCGGCCTTTTATACCTCAAGAACAATGTACAATACAAGGACAAATGGATGAGGTAGAACAATGAACCAGACCAGCTGAGTCACGTCTCCATGCCAAACGCTGTGCATCTCCATGCCAGCGTATCAATGCGCAGCCCACCACATGACCTGCCGGGTGACCCGACCGCATCCAAGATTGGATGCGTCGGACTTTGCCCCCGGTGACATATACTGTGCAATAAATAAAATGCAGTCCGGATGACACCCGAGGGAAAAACGACCATTCCAAATGACAGTACCTGAGGAAGAAAAAAACCGAGACGACAGTTCAGAAAAAAAGGTTGAAATGCAAGTCCTAAAGGAACTCCAGTGACGGTGCGTTCAGTAGCAGGGCAATAGGAAGTCTAAGCATGTATCTGTTGGGCCTCAGCCGGCTGAACCCGGATCACATTCGGTTGGGTGTCAGGTTGTGCAACCTTTGACTAATCAATTTTTTACCCTGAAGCTCCCACGGTTGAGAGAGCACTTGGAGATGATCCCTACTCTCAGTGAGCTTTATTGCATGGCTGGAGGCCAGAGTCTAAGTACAAGGAAACAATGAAGGCTGTTACTGGACTTGAACCTCTCGTGTAGGTACGTTCATGAAGTCACGGTTGACACTTTTTCCCCAAGCGCCGGGAGAAATTGAGTCGGGTTTTTCCCTCCTCTACAGTACTCATCGTATGATAATAGTCTGGACTGGACTATGACACATACACAGATCGTCAGCCTCTGGAAGGACAGTAGTAGGCTGAGTCGGACGTGTTATTTCAATTTTTTTTCGTACACGGATGTCATTTCAACCAGTCGCATTTAATGCACATTATATGGCCCGTGAATTTGGATTAAGTTCCCCTTGCAGTCTCATTCAACGTTCTTGAGAAAACTGTGGTTGAGCGGGTGCAGATGATTTCAGCGCAGCAGATCCTTGTTTGCACTGAATGTGTTCTAACCATCACATATGGCCCCTGAGTTAGTGGGCTTTGCCGCGACAGCGCGCTACAATTGTTATTTCTGCAGACCGCCCGTTCGACTCGGGCCCGAGCCATAAGGCATAGCGGACGGAATCGGAATCTTTTTCCATTTACTACAACCATTCATGTAATCCGCCCACTCACACCCACTCCTCATTTTCTGATTAGTTTTCAGGGCGTACGCGTTCAATTGGTTCATTGGGACTTGCACCTGCACGTCAACGCGAATGAGTTAACTCGTTATTTTCTTAGCGAATATTCCAGGGCAAAAGTAAGGAGGGAAGGCTCGGTTGCGCGCGGTGCGCATCTGCATCCCATGCGGGTTTAGGGCTGGGATTCCTGCAGACCGCCCGTTGTGGAAGGGTGATTTGGCTCCCTCGTCGCCAATCTCCTTCTCACGGTTTTGGAGCATGGAGCTGGATCGAGTCCCCACATCGCCAATATTTCATGTCGCACTCGCACTCGTTCCTGAAAGAGGTTTTTACCGTTACTCACACATTTCTCCGGTTCTTCCTCACAGATTTGATTGGCTCGACCTTCATATTCACCCTTATTCCACGGACAATTCGACACATGCAATATTTCAACCACAATCTTACAACCAAGCGGAAAATATTGGATATCGAGCTTTTTGACATCTCCGCACACTCACTTACTTACCTCTGCTATTCTACACAGACATTGCATTCTTTCCACTACGTACCACCAAGGCGAAGAGTTGAACCCGAGCCATCGGCCTTCTCGGACTACACCGGGGATCGAGACGACGGCGGCCTGGGCACCCACCCGTCAATGTCTTGGGGGGACATGCTCTCCCTATACGTCTTTGAGTAGCTCCCGGACTGCAAGTTGGACGGAGGTTTGACTTCTAGTTGCGGCTTTTCACCCACGGACGATTTTGGAACAATTACATACATGTTTTTGTTTGTTTGTTTGGACAGGATTCCGCTCTTTACCTCTTACCACCACCACGATATACCCACTCTGAGCTCCTTGCACAAATCCAATCTCATTTTGACACATTTGAGCTAAGTTATATATTTCATAGAGCCTTCTGATTGTTTTAGTTTGATTCCCATTCACGCGACATCGACATTCTGCTGCAAGCCTCGACATCCGCCAGCACGACCTTGACACACCTTTGTCCACCTGAGGACAAGCCCTCTCTTCCACACCGTGCGACCCGGACTCGAGATCTGAATTCGGATGGTGGTCTTTTACTTCGCTTTCGTTGGTACGTTTCATTCACGATCGCAGTTGCCTCTCAAGTCGCCTCCTCACACTTTTCAACCATTCCTCAATCCCCGAGTCATTGGTCGACTGATTCGCGGGTGACACAACACTCATAGCGAATTGAGCCGATATATTCTCTCGTGCATAGTCCAGGGTCCAGGTAGTTTTGCAGGGCTCGGTGGCGTCCGGGACGCATCTGTACTCCTTTTCTAGTTTCTGTCCTGCATACTGCAGAACACCCGTTCGACTCGGGTCCGAGCCGTAAGATAGGTGTCCCCCGGTTGTCTTTTTGTCCTCTTTCTGACAACTTCAAACTGCAGCCCCTACTCACACAACTCGCAAGCCTTCCATTTCCAAAACCCCAGAGGCATCGAGCTCCATTTTTCAATCCGTGGCCGATACGAGCGAGGAAACCCATCATCTGAAGTCTGTCGCGTCGATTCGACCCTGGATGTAGGTGTGCACGGCTCGGTTGCGTTAGGACGCATTTTGGCCATACCAAACCTCATTTCGCAGATCATCCGGTCGACTCGGGCTCCAGCCATACTTCCCGCGGTTTCTCCCCTTTTTTTATGTTCGCATCGAGTTCGCACGGCCATTTCCCCTTTCTTTTCCTCTGCTTTGAGGCGATAATGTGTTCATAAGAACTTGGACTACGTGAACACACCTTGGAGGCGAACTTGAAACCGCCAATGATCAACCGTTGAGTTGAAATCTCTGGCACATAGCTGAAGGAACAACTACTCAGGCAAGGCTCGGTTGCGTCCGGGACGCATCTGCACTCTATAGCTCCTTTGAAGGCTTAATGCAGACCCCCCGTTCGACTCGGGCACCAGCCATGGTCCAGAGCTTCCCATTTTTGGCCGGAATACTCCCGTCAAGCTCGCAGGCTCACTTCCTTTTTCTCTACGTAGTAATGGGTTGATAGGGCTAAAAGACTCGGACTTGCACGTCAACGTGAGTAAGTGAACTCGTCTTAGCCTTCAGTTCCTGCCAGATATTCAAGGACACAACTAGATGAGTAAGGCGCGGTTGCGTAGGGACGCATCTGTACTCCATATACGTTGACGCACGGAATTTCTGCAGACCGCCCGTTCGACTCGTGCATGAGTCTTGTCTAGTTTTTTTCTTTGTTTTTTCTTCATCCCGTTCCCTTCCGTCGGCAGCCTTCCAAAGTTCACAGTCACAGGGGCCTCGTAAATCTGTTCGCTCTCATACTCAACCCTTCAACTCACTGGATGGGCGGGCTTCATGTGGGATACAATTCGCTGACGGATTGGCAGTTGATACGGGGTGAGCAAAGATCACCCATTCGGTTGAATTTTCTCGCGCCTATACAAGGTCAAATAGAGGCGATGAAGGCTCGGTTGCGTTTGGACGCATCTGCACACCATTGAAGAGTCGATTCCACCTGTTTCCTGCAGACCGCCCGTTCGACTCGGGCACCAGCCACGGTCCAGAGCTCCCCTTTTTTGGCCGGAATACTCCCGTCAACCTCGCAAGTCCGGTTCCCTTTTTTTTTTTGCTATTAAAGGGTTGACAGGGCTAGAAGAATCGGACCTACACATCAACGTGAGTGAGTTAACCTATCGTAAACATTTAGTTGGATTCTCTCCCCCACATTCAAGGATAAAGGTATGGAGGGAAGGCTCGGTTGCGTTGGGACGCATCTGCACTCAATAAATAACGCATTTCTCGACCAGGAATATTGCAGCCCGCCCGTTCGACTCGGGCTCGAGCCATGGGGATGCCTGAACCAGCCGATTTGTTTTTGGCCGCACTCCGAGTATTCCCGTCACGCTCGCGAAGCCACTTCCCCTTTGCGTTTTGCTTTGCGCCGCAATAATGTGTTCATTCGACACAACTCCGACACCGGGTGCACAAAGGTGAATTGCTCGCACATATCCGAGGACACAGGTAGGTGAGTGAGGCTCGGTTGCGTTGGGACGCATCTGCTTTCCGTTCTTGGATTTGCCAGATCGAAAATTTGTGCAGACCCGCCCGTTCGACTCGGGCCCGAGCCATTGAATTCAATGCTGTTCAAAGTCTTTTTGTTTCTTTGGTGCTCGTAGTCTTCCATCCTACTCAAATTCACAATCGCAAGCGGCTCGCAACCGGTACTTTTCAACCATACATGAATTATTGCTTGATCGATCGACGATTAGGTGAGCAAAATCAACCATCGAGTTGAATCCGCTGACTCATATGTTTGTGATCATGCACAAACTGTGCCAGAGAAGGCTCGGTTGCCTGTGGTGTGCATCTGCACTCCTTTGCGTGATTTGGACAAGCACAATTTCTGCAGAACTCGCCCGTTCCACTAGCCGTGAGTCTTGTGGTTCTACATATTTTTCTTTCTGACAACTTTGAACTGCAGCCCCTACTCAAGCTCCTCGCAAGGCTATCTTCCATTCTATTGAAAACACCCCGATTTTTTCAATCTGTCTCTGTGATGCGAAGTGAGTAGAACGCCAGCAAAGCTTCTTGCATGGGTAGATTCAGGTGCCAGAGAAGGCTCGGTTGCGCGTGGTGCGCCTCTGCACCTCATCGGCAAAAGTCGCCAATGGTTTCTGCAGATCCCACCCGTTCGACTCGTTCCCGAGACATGACTTGTTGCTGTATGTATCCGTTTTTTGTTGCATCCATCGAGCTCGCACGGCCTCTTCCCCTTTCGTTTCCTCTGCTTCGACAGAATAGTGTGTTTGTGGAAATTTGAGCTGCGTGGTCAACAAAGCCCGAGACCCGGTGCACAACGATAGAGGCATCGAGTTGAATTCACTGATGCATATTCTAGGTGGGAGGCAAGGAGGGAAAGGCTCGGTTGCATTCTGGACTCCATGGCGCAAGATTTATGCAGAAACCGCCCGTTCGACTCGAGCCTGAGCCATGGGTCGCAGCACGGATAGCTTCATTTTTTGGGCCGGCACTCAGAATGCTCCCGTCCAGTCCGCTTCCCTTTTTTCCCTACCTCGCAATTGGTTGATAGGGCTGGAAGACTCGGACCTACACATCAACGCAAGTGATTGAACTCATAACGAAATTCAGCTGGATTTTTCGCACATATACAAGGATAAAGGTGTAGAGGGAAGACTCGGTTGCGTTGGGACGCATCTGCAACCTATGACACAGCTACAAAGAAAAAACTTCCTGCAGACACCGCCTGCTCGACTCAGGCCCGAGCCTTACTTGTGCAAGACCGGAGTTTTTGTTTCCATTTCGTTGGTAGCCTCCCTCGACAACGACATCCATGACTGTTTCTTTGTTTTCAACGATTCCACAGGCTTGGTCGATTGCAAATGCCGGGTGACGTGTCGAAGGCAACCGTTACGAGTACTTATGTAATCGTTCATTTAATCATCTCGATTGAGGATTTTGAGTGCGACTGAAAAGACTTGTCCCCTCAAAACGTCAGAAGTCTTTTTAGTGGCTGTGTTGAAGTCTTTTCTACGATATAGATCACAATTGTTGTGATAATTTAGTGGCTGTCCACCCCATTTGTAATGAGCTCCGTCCGCGTGTTGGTTCGATTCCGAGTCTCGTCACCCTTCTTTTAAAAAAGAACAATGTCCAGTGACACCATACTTATTCAGATCTAGTCAAGATATCTATAGACAAACCAAGAATTTCCATAGTTGATACGTAGAGCACGGCGTAGAGTACAGCCGTTTTCACTTCACTACCCTAGCTCTACGATGCCACGCATACACTAACAAATCATTAGTGTACATTCAATTTCAATTTTATCAGACAAGGAACTTAAGCGCAGGATCGACAACCAGGACTCATCCTCACTCCGTCAAGCCCGTTCTTGCAGCCTAGTCCGCTGTATGTCCAGGCCAAACAATAAGGGCCTGGGTGGATTTCCTTGGCACTCTCTCCTTTGTCAAGAGCGGAAATTGGAAACCTTACAGCAAGACAGCCGTAGTCAATGGTAGATCGAGCAGTAGCCGGACAAGATCTGTGTTGGCCACAGGCATAGCAAAATTTAATCCGTGATGTGTGTACCCGACAACTTTCAACACCCTGCACTGTGTGATTGTGTTGTCCAGCCACAAGCAGTTCAAGATAGCTTGACCATTAGCCACCTCGCAATCATGATGTTTACCTTTGTTGTTTGTTTGCCTGAAGTGGAAGGCAAAACATGTTGTCCCGCTTCCAAGCAGGCAATTACCGGTCGGAAATTGGTGGTAGTGAATTCTTTGGCTATATAAGAAGGCCACAAAATTGCAGTATGAGTATCAGGTGCCTGTGCCAGCTCAATCACGATGTTTACTTGCACCGGAAGTGGGCAAATCTTGTTGTCCTTTAATATGAACGTTGAGTCTGTTTTCTTTACTCCATGCACGAGAATAGGCTAGTGATCTGAGCAGCGAAGAGACCGGTTTCAAGGCAGGGCCTTGTTGTTGTATCAGAAGAGTGCCATAAATGGAAACATATGCGCGTGTTTGGCCTTTGTTTGTGTGACTTTGCGTGGCTGTCCACGTCACCCTCACCGCGTCTCTTGTCTTCCTTGCCCATATGTTTGTCACCATGTCGGGCACCTTGATTTTGGTGCCTCACGTGGATCTGACTTTCCATTGCCAATGACATGTAAGTATCTGGACCTTGACAGTGTTGAGGATGTGAATGGTGCGCGGGTCTGGACTGCCTTGGCGGACACCTGTGGTGTTGCAACAATTCGGTACCATCCGACCTCTGGTGGTAAATGTGACGGCAACATTTCTTGCCCGAGGGTAATCACGCCATTATTCAATGATTCAACATTTACTAGTGTTTTGAATGTTCGTGAGTGGGGTCGCTCCGCAGAGTCAAAGCGGAGCCACAAGGGGGTCGCATGGAGTTTGGGCCCCAAGGAATGCGGCAACGATGTACCGGGCCACGATTCTTTTATAACCTCGTTCAATACCACGTACACACACCCGATTTGTGGTACACTGGGTCCTTTCTTTCCATCACATAATTCCTGATTTGCTTGCATAGAGCGCGACTATCTCGACCGCCTTGACCACCTCATTGATGGTGCCTAATTCATTCAAAAGTGGGTGATATATGCGTGACTAGCAGTAAGCCCGTGCTATGCTATGGCCAGAGCAGTTCACAATCCTGAATCTTCCGGTGGACTGCTTGAAGAATATAAGTCGACCAAACGCATCGCTCGTCGGGAACCTTCGGTTTACTCCTCGCGGCCTCATGTTCCCGGTGCTCACTTGAACTGGCTCACTCAAACTTTGGCGGTATTAATGTGTCTGTCAATCCATTTGGTCTGCATTTCCGCATGAACACCATTCTCGTGTCAATGAATAGCTGAGATTACAGGTACTTGGCACGCTGCTGTCCAGAAAATACCCTCCGCCAACTACACGCACATGGGTTTATTCTGCGGTTCTATCCGGTATTTCGGGCATGGTATCTGCGCAGCCATATCCATCGGGATGCCTGTTGTGGCGCATAATTCGCAGCATTTCTTGTTCAAGTATGTGGTTTTACCTTTCGACTCTGTCCAATTTATTTTTCCGTTGACAGCGCGGTCATCTGACGGTCTGCCGCAATTTCCCCCAAAAATTCAGGTTGTCTTATAATATCATGTATGAATTTCCAGTTTTGCATGTCCTCTAGAACGAAATTCCCTGGACTTGAACGCCACTGTTTTCATACATAAGATGTCAACAATTGGGTGAACCGCCAAGTTGAAATGTTGTTCGGTCTGGTGGCTCGCTCTGACTGGCTTCAATGTAATCCCGAGATGCCTACAGAAGCCGGAGTGCCATTCTCAATACCTCCTTGAAGACGCCGCTCGCTGCAAAGAATCTCTTCTCTTCATGTGGCTTCAAACTCAGTGTCAAGGCTTTTTAACTCATTATTGACTTCTGTCGCATCTCGGGGATTAGAAGCAACAAATCGTTGCAGATTGGAAATCTATTGCACTTGAGGCCTCCCAGGAGAGAGGAACAGTTGAACAGAAGATGTAAGATTTGTACAGCTTGCCATTTTGGGGAGCAAGTGGAGCGCCTGTGAAAAAATCCAACGTCTCGGCCGTTTTTGGTTGAACCGTGGAGCAAGTGACATCATGCCGTCTCCAGCCAGCCAATCCGGTTATCCCATTGTCAAATGGTCTTGTCTTGCGGAGACAGGAAGTGCTCGATTGTAATATAGATTGAAGCTCCACCATATATTCTGTGATGCTGGGAGTTGAGAAATATCAATTAGTCTACCGGATCTGCACATTGTGGAACTAGTGGTCTCAGTCAATGGGCATGCCTCCGATTGCGGTGATACGGAGCTGTACAGCCGCCCTTTACGTCCATATTGGGTATGAAAAAAAAACATAAGTACGAGTTCCTGCCGGGCAAAGCCACGGCCCTACACCTAGGCAGGAAAGGCTCAGTTGCGTTGGGACGCATCTGCATTCCATATGCTGATTGTTTGGCGAATTAATGCACACCGCCCGTTCGACTCGGGCACCAGCCATAGAATGCGTGGACCAACCGTTTTTTTTGGTCGCACTCTGAATACTCCCGTCAAGCACAAGTCCACTCCACATCCTCTCATGCGGTTTCGGCCGCAATGATCATGTATGGACTTGAAGGCTTGAACCTTTCAGGCTGCACGCAAGGCCAGGCAACTCAAGATTCGGGTGACTTTTCTTACACACCTGCATAGTTGAAAGGATGCAGGGAAGGCTCGATTGCGCGCGGTGCGCGTCTGCATTCCATTGCCTCTGCTCAAAATTGCCGCAGACCTGCCCGTTCGACTCGGGCACGAGCCATGTGGTAAATGCTTTGATGTTTTATTGCTGTTCGGAGCTTTCAGTCCTGCACAGACCCGGATACACAATCGCTGTTGCAGCCAGTCCACAGTTCTGTTCGTTTGCGTGCACTTGGTTGATATACGGCTCAAGTCTCCGTGACTCAACTCATCGTCGATTTGAATTCTCCGGCGCATATTTGAGGATACAGGTACGTGTGCAAGGCTCGGTTGCGTGTGGTGTGCATCTGCACTCCTTTGCGTTATTTGGACAAGCACA